AATAGAATAGAATAGAATAGAATAGAATAGAATAGAATAGAATAGAATAGAATAGAATAGAATAGAATAGAATAGAATAGAATAGAATAGAATAGAATAAAATACTTGCATCATTCGTTACAGTGGTAGGAAGGGTGGTATTATTAGCACCTGGAGTAGGAGGCACTGCATTCTGCAACATGAAATAAAACCATACATGTATGGGTAACCACTGACAGCTGAAAGTAAATAACGTGACTACATCTACATGTGTATGAAACAACAATTAATAGTTACCAGACAAGTATTGTAAATGAATTCATTTTCACTTCTAATCTGCAGCTATAGATTATGTCAAGGCGTTCATAGGGACAACACTTTGTGAAAGTTGTTGTGTATGCACACATTAGCTTACAACACATCATACAGAAAACTGACTGAAATCAGTGAAAACTGTAAAATTGTTTTTACCATTGGTTTAGGAAATAACAGCATGCCAAATATGGTGAATATGTACATGTGAAGCAACAACAGTAACAGAACACTGCAAGGTGAAAAGAAAGACATCAATTTTAATTATCATTTATTAAAATTTTGTGGTTGGGTATCACGATAGAAGACAGGATTCGTATTATAACGAGTCTGGTAGTGTATATATACTATGCAGTTACGAGACAGAGTGACAGCGAGACAGTATTCTACAGCAAAGAATACTCTTTATTCGGGAATATGACGTGCGTCATAGAGCATCAGGTAGAAACAACTGAAGAATTATATTAAATCACAGTTTCACAGTTTATATAGACAGCCAAGGATTCACACCATGTAAATAAACTCCGGCTGTATTTACTTTCGAAGTGTGTTCACTCTTACGTTAGTATCAATAACCTTGAAGAGTTAAATGGCGTGAAACAGGCAAGGTTGTGTTAGTTTACCATAGGAATACATGTAATTTCAAAGGAATACAACAATACTGTGACTCAAAGTGAAAATAAAACGAATCAATAACGAATAATTAATATGAATAAAGTGTTCCCGATAAATTTATATTTTAAATATTCACCTCAATCTTCATTATCAATGTTTTATGAAGATGCAATTGGTATATGGTTAGTCTAAATCTAGCATCTGATTGGCCGGAGCAAGGTCTTGTATCTGGCTTATGCTCGGTTATTATCTCCTGCCAAATATGCTAATTTTACCCAGAGAGGTCTTGTGACTGATACCAAATAGCTCGCTTGCTGTTTATAATTAGGGTATTGTCTGTGATCACTGCCCTCATTA